TTTGTGAGAGAGAGAGAGAGAGAGAGAGAGAGAGAGAGAGAGAGAAGGAAGTGTCACAGATAGCGACTAGAATGCACGGTGGTGAGCAGTCCACCGGCAAGCCGGATGGCCGCCGAGAGAGGCGCCAATTGCCGTCGACGGAAGCTAGGTTACAATTTGGGGACGGAGCGGCTAGGTTTCACTTTGGAGTAATATTACGGAAAAAGATACTTTCAGTAATATACTTTGAGCAAATTCCAGTTTTTTGTCTTAATTAACGGTTTTTATCTTAATTAACCCAAAAAAAGTGCAAAGAAATATTTTATCATTAACGGGATAGGGCTATTAACGTAGAAATAATAATAATAATAATAATAATAATAATAATAATAATAATAATAATAATAATAATAATAATAATAATAGATTCTAACGGTTATTGGAGGAAAAATGCCACATAAGCAAAATTTATTAGGTTTTATTTATTATATTTTATTTAATAAATTTCCAGCAAATATATATACTAGTATTTGATCCCTTTGCATTTGCACAGATGTAAATAAAGTATTATAAATTATTTATGTGTATATAACATTAAAATTATAAATTAGATAATGATAGTATATTTTAAAACATAGAGTATTATAAATTCTATTTATGCATATAATGTTAAAATTATAAGTTAGATAATAGTATTATGTTTTAAAATCTGACCATTGGTGTAAAAAATAGTACATAACGATTTGGTTGCATACGAATCACTATATTGATTACATAAAATATAATAAATAATGTAATTTTTATAATTTTAAAGTATCACGACCAATTAATTAACTGAAAAATATTATATTTATTCTAATAGTTGCTTATGCGATTTTAAAAATTGTTACTGTGACATTAAAATAAATTAATCTATTTATAAAAAATCGCTTAATCAAATAAGAAAAATACAATATTGATTTTAGAATAAATAACTTGAACAAATTTTTTTTTTGAATATAATATTTTATGTTTATGTGACTTTCATATATCATTTTCATTCTAATAATAACTATTATATGATTTAATAAAAATATAATTATTACTCAATAATATAAAATGTAACGGTTTCTGTCTTAATTAACCAAAAAAACTACACTGAAATATTTATTATTAATAGAATAGGGTTGATTAATGCCACATGTATAATTTATTAAGTTTTATTTTATGATTTATGGTATAATTTATTAAATATTTATTAAATTTTATTAGATTTTATTAATGTAGTCATCCCCTTATAATAAGTGTATTATATTATATTATGCGTATTTTCTTTCTGCTTCATTTTTTGTGGATGCCCCTAAATTATACTTTACGAGAGAGATTACGAAATACAAAATACAACTGGAGACGAAAACTGTAAACAAGCTCCGTCGGCGTCCTCCTGATCCACCGTGCCAGCTCTTCGGCCTCGCGGCGGCGCCACCCCCTGGCGCCCTCTGCACATTTTATCCTTCTCAAGAAGCTTTCTGGAAATCTCTTATAACCCCGAAATTCTTTGCAAGGGAACAAAACCACCTCCTTAATCAAGTAAGCAAATGTCTGAAGCAATTTTAGTCGTTCGATTCTCTTTCTTTTCCCGTAGAATAACATAAATGTTTCGAAATTCGCACTTATTATTTGCATCTGTAAAAGTTTTTTAAAAGTTATATTGTTAGCTGCTAGAGAAGAATGAAGGATCGCGTCGAACTCTAGGTGTATCATTTCTTTCTCATTCTTTTTCGTTTTGGGAGTGGGAACTCTTTAATTAATTCACAATTAAAAAAACGAAAATACGTAATTAAATTTAACTGTTCAGTTTCCAATAAGTGTGTGATGGAACTTTTTTTTATTTTTGTAATTTTCTTGTTCCATTTTGTTGGCGAGGGTCTGTGTCTGGCCTGGGAATTTGTATAAGAGACTTTCAGATGTAAAAATCTCATTTTCTGTCCCTGTCGGGGATGATATAATTTTACTATCTGTTTCGTGAATATCACATTTTCAGCATATGAATTTGTACTCATTTATTTGATTTATTATGTGAGGTGTATTGAGCTATATATATAAAATTTGTTTGAAGCTATATATATGAAATTTGTTTTCCTTTCTCTGTTAGGACTTGGGAACTTCAGAAGCTGGCTTAACCAAGTAGATCGTTAGCATACGATTTGTAGCTTCAATGGCTGCTTCACAAGCTGCTCTGCCATTTCTATCTCGGGCAGTGACAAATCAAACTTACACACATTTAAGCTCAACTGCTCTGATTTCCTTTAAATCGTGTTTCAAAATACGGCAGCACAAACACTACTTGTTCTCACCACAGAAGGGCAAGAAGATATGTCGAAATTATTACACCAGAAGCCATGTGATTGGGATTCACAGTAGAATTTCCAGAAAAAAGCTAGATGTTCAGGCAAAATCTTGGCGTCGTTATTGTTCTGGGGTTGAAAATGTTCGAGAGGCATATGAAGAGAATGGCGTGGCCAGGGAAGCTAGCAATCAAGTTCCTGAGTCTTCACATTATGTGGACTATGGAACGAAATTACATTCAAAAGCTATTAGTGACACATTTGGTGAAGTTGGTACCGATTCTTTGGAGGATGAAGCTTGGAATTTGTTGCGGGCATCGGTTGTGTATTATGGTGGGAATCCAGTTGGTACAATTGCTGCTAATGACCCAAGTGACTCGAATATGCTCAACTATGATCAAGTCTTTATCCGTGATTTTATACCTTCCGGGATTGCTTTCTTATTAAAGGGTGAATATGAAATCGTCAAGAATTTCATCCTGAATACTCTTCAGCTACAGGTAATGTAATTATTGATGCAAGCTGTCGGAGTATATTGCAAATTTGTTGTGCAATTATAATGTGATTATCTAAAATGGGTGAACTGCAATTTAATAAATTAAGTTACTTTAGATAGTTTGCTGTTAGTATAAAGTTTAATGTGTCAAGTTAAAGGGTTGTATTTGTTGTCTCTATCTATCATTACATGGTAAATTGGTTGGATGCACTTTTACAGGTAATAAATACTGTTCTGGAGGTAGTCATTCTTAAA